ATTTCGCATGATCGCACTATGGGAGTGAATTATCAAATTGATCCATCATATTAATATTTTCTTGTTTAATTAAGTTTCGTAAATTTACACTATTTTCATTATTCGGACTATTGTCTTCATCTTTGTCGCCATATTTATTAAAACCTTTCGGCTCTTGTACGCTCCGGCCTTCTTCAGATGGTTGAAATGTCGAACTGAACCCTTTATTTCGCTCACTGGGGTAGACTGTTCTAGGTCCACGTGTCATGTTTAATGGATGTCAGTTATCAGTTATCCGTTGTTAATATCCCTCTGCTTTAACCGGGTATTGAACTCACAGTTTGGGTCCTGTCACTGGATCTAACCAACGCCTTTATCCACTGTGTCCTTGAGGGGAATTAACAGGAGATAACTGATAAATGACATCCATTAAAACATGGCACGTGGAACTAGAACAGTCTACCCCAGTGAGTGAAATAAAGGCTTCAGTTCGACATTCCAACCACCTGAATAAGGCCGGAGCGTTCAACGGCCGAAACTTTGTAATAAATATGGTGACAAATAGTCCGAATAATGTAAATAGTGTGCATAATAAGCTCATCTCAGAAATATAGACAGATATTTTCGTAAATTTATTGTTATAGTCTTTTACACTTTATATTATTTTTAATGATAAGAGTTGGTATAAATAAATTTATTAAAATCGTATTTGTTGTGCTTAATACTTCGATGTAAAGACCCAAATTAAAGCAAATATATTTATTCAACATATAACAATTCTATCCCTGATACAGAGATCTAAAATAACACACTGTAAAATAAAATTAATCTATTTTCTCTACCTTAATGGAAGACTATATGACACGATTTATATTTAAAAATAAAAGATATCGTGCGTGTAGATGTCAAGTTTGTTTGGTAGCAACCTGTCCATTGTACAGAATGTCTTTTAAATATTAATTTAAAATATGTATATATAGGCAGTATATCTTCATTCAAACATGTCTGTTATAGTTATTTTAAAATACATATCACAAACAGTTACTGTCATTTTACATTTCTACCAATTTCCGGTCGGCTCTCTTATAATAAAACGTTGGTTTTCCAAATCTATCCATAACGGGTAACGGATAAATTTTAGTATTTGTCTATATTTCTGAGATGAGGTATTATGTACATTATTTACATTATTCGGACTATTGTCCTTATCATTGTCGCCATGTTTATCACAACGTTTCAGCCGTGGTACGCTCCGGCCTTCTTCAGGTGGTTAGAATGTCGAACTTAAGGACACATGGCACAGTGGATAAAGCCGTTGGTTAGATTCACTAACAGGACACAAAGAGTTGTGAGTTCAATACCTGGCTAAGTCAGTGGAGAACATGGAAAGGTGAATTAACAGGAGATAACTGATAACTGATAACATCCATTAAACATGGCACGTGGAACTAGAACAGTCTACTCCAGTGAGCGAAAATAAAGGGTTCAGTTCGACATTCCAACCACCTGAAGAAGGCCGGAGCGTACAATGGACGAAACGTTGTAATAAATATGGCGACAAAGATAAGGACAATCACCATCACAACGGAATTCAGATTTTATCGCGATTTTATCGCGCTTACAATAAGTTTGTCTTTGTAATTTTATTCTTGAAGATGATCTTGGAAAAGATCAAAAGTACTTGGGTTAGAAAAAACTACGGAGCCTTCCTTGAAGAATTTCATCTTAACTTCAAGAAACTGATTAGACAACTGGAAAGAGTCTAAAAATAAATAGACACAATATGTTTATATTCAATGACACATGTTTAAATATTAATTAGACATCCTAAGTTTCATATTTTTCATGCGCGTGCATCGAAAATGATCATATTGATTTCTCATTTAGCTTTTCTTTTTCGATATAATTGCACTCGATCACCTAACGAAGAAAAGTTTTAATTTGCTTCGCATGGTGCGTGCTTTTAACAACAGAGTACGAACGACCTTTAAAAATTAACAGTGTTACAATAATAAAAAAAATGTGTTTCGTGCGATGCTCGTTTAGTATCGTGGGTATTATTAGGTTAAACCATGTGAAATGTCCGATTTTGATTAAGCGTAAAGATGTATTTGAACTGCTAGGGAAACTTAATTGATATGGGAATAATCAGCAACATATACTGGGAAGAAAACGCATGCGTACGAATAGAAAAGGAGTTGACCAAGTACATGAAAATATAAAGACAATGATGTCACTTCTCACTGGATTTATAACCAGGCATAGACAACCATTTTTGAACAATGGACCGCATAAGATAAAGTACATCATAAGACTGGCCACACTGCTAAAAGAATTAAGGTATTCTTTTAATTAAAGATACCGCAGCAATCCTCTCCTTACACACACAAAAAAAAAATAATAGCATCTGCCTTAGAAATGGGGAAAAGTTGATATTTTTTCTTTGGCAAAAAGATTCCTTGTATAGTTAAAAAATAATATTGCTGGGTGGGAACTGTTTCTAATTAACTAGTTTAAGTATACAAAAATATTTGTAAAAGAAGAATAATTATACTACTGACGTTTCCTGTTTCTGAAACAAAATATGCTTACACGTATGATCTTCCTTAATGAAAATCGCCAACAGTTTAAAATGCTGACAAAGTTCAACGAAATGTTATAAAATTCAAGAAACATTGTACTCATTCTTTATAGATGTGATTAAGTATGGGAGTGTGTTAGTCGACAAGTGAGAACGAAAAGAAAACATTTTAATAGACATTATTTTTCTCAGAAAGCCAATCGAGTCGCATGTGGCCTGCAGACCATAGATTGCCTATGACTTATGTAATGACAAAAGTACGCAGGTGTAGGCTTTAAGAAAGCTTCATTTAACTGAAATACAGGGTTCGCGTATAGTATCCTTTGCTAGTCCGAGTAAATAGAAATATCTCTTTCAAAGAAGAGAGTAACAAAACAAGGGGAGACTACTCTTGATTATTAATAACAACTTATTAATACGAAACTTTACAGCAAGGACATCCTAAGGGAACTAAAAGTCCTACCAGGTTTTATTTGGTGGCAAACACAATCTTATCAACATCACATATGCAGATGATACTTTTTTGACAGCAGATACAGAAAGAAAACAGTAGCCACTCCTAGACAAGTCAGAAAGAAGAAGGCTAGAAGAAACGACTAACTACTAATTGCATGAAGACGGTAGGTATGGTCGTTAGCAAGAAGAACAGCCCAACATGCGAGCTACGAATTAGAGACGTCAGAAACATTCAACTAAAGAAATATAAATGTCTAGGAAATATTTTAACAGGATACAGGAACCAATATCCGAAGATGTATTGGAATTGTAAAAGATTAATTGCAAAAGCTAAACAAAGAATTAAGAAACACAACCACACACGCAAAAAAAAAAACAAAAACAAAAACAAAAAAACATCCAAACAAAATAATCCTGAAGTACTAATAAATATAAATCCTCGTATATAGCAATGAATACTGGGCAATTCACCCACAGATGGACCGGAAAGTTGAGTCAACAGAGACGTTCAACAGAAGGATACTGAGAAAATCATGAGCGGAATGTATGAGTAAGGAAGAAGTTTTATAGGAAAGGAAAAAAAAGGACACCTATACTTAGAATCAAACAGAAACAATTTAGATTTCAGGGACAAATAATTAGGAGAGTGAGTTTGGAGAATTAAACACTCACAGGACATATTGAAGGCAAGAGAGGCAGTAGGAAAGATCGAGTAACTTACCAAACGAGATTGTGTAAATGTATGACAGAACAGGGAAAACACATTGTTAGAAAGTTAGAAGTTGTTGAAAAGAAGCTATCGAGTAAGCAACCTCTCGGGAGTCTGTTCCGCAACGCAACGGCTCTTGGGAAGCAGCTGTCTGAATGGAACTAACTTCTTAACAATGGAATATGAAGGGAATGAGGATGATTCGACTCTGTGGAAATAACATGGAGGATCGTAGCTGTAACGGTCTGAACTGGTGGAACTCAATGGAAATAAGGATAGGGTAGTGACAGGCATGTGACTTTTCGTCTGTGGGAAAAGGGGATGGAGGGTGGAAGACAATCACTCACAAGGTCACGTAGGTGCTTTTGTCAAAGCGAGAAAGTGGGGGGTTGGGCAACTCCAGCTTAGACATGACAGGAATACTCAATTTTTGGATTTGTAAGCTAAATTTTAATTAGTCTACTAATAAGCTTCCTGCTATCTAAGTCTGACATTTTGTAATGTTTTACCGGACGGTTATGTGAT